TGTCATTTTAATTCTTTTTTTTTTTTTAGCTTCTCTTTTTATTTCAGTTTGAGTTTGTCGTTTTAATATTTCAGCTTAACATTATTCTATTTCAGTTAGTTTCCAAGTCAACATTTCTAATTTTTATTTAAATTTAAGTATCTATTTATATTTTATTTCAGTAGAATTAACAAAAACAATTTTTATACATTTTAGTTAACAATAAGAACCATTGCCATGCTTATGTAAGGCTTATTGGCCATTGCAGCGGGAGCTCTGGTCTCAAGCCATAACAAGATCTATTAGAGTGACTGTACAAATCAAAAACCTAAGATCAATTTGAATAGCCAGTACATGACTGAATTAGGGAACCAGTTCCTTTTGCACAACAGAGCATTTGCATCAGTTCAGCAAACTGAAGGCTTGGAAATGCAAAGCAGCCCTTGAATGAAACTGAATTAATTCCTGCATGCTGAGAACCTGTAGGAGGCACCACAAAGTGATTGTGTAATGAGCTGAGTGACATTTGTTAATGTTTTCACCTATTTTTTAGGCCTCCAGAGAGTTTAGAGACACTCAGTTCTATGTTGACTCAGGTGGACGGGGTACCAGCATACCTGCCAAACTGCCTGCTACTACAAGACACAGTGAACAGGGCTAAAGAATGGCTCCAGGAAGCTGAGGATTTACAGGTTGAGTACTCTACATGAACTATGTAGTTTGTATGCATTCTACGTGCTAGTGTACAATCTCATGTTCATGTTTTTGAAGGTATATCTGGCTGCAGTGTTAAAGGGTTAGTTCACCCAAAATTGAAAATTAGGCTGTGTTTTACTCACCCCAGAGCCATCCTAGGTGTATATGACTTTCTTCTTTCAGACGAATCCAGTCGGAGTTCCAAGCTCTATCATTGCAGTCAGCAGGTGTTGCAGTGCTTCAGTCCAAAAGAAGTGAAATAAAAAGCGTCCATCCATAAAAAAAAAGTGTCTCACACGGCTCTGGGGGGTGAACAAAGGCCTCCTGTAGCGAATCGATGCGTTTTTGTAAGAAAAATATCCATATTCAAAATGTTATAATCACTTTAATGTAGCTTGCGCCAACAGTTGTACACAGAAGCAGCTCCGGGAGCATGACGCATGAGGTTAGCGTTGCGCATGCGCCGGTGTGTCTCATGAAAACCAACGTTTGTTTACAGGAGCAAAGGAAGCAAAGTTTCCTTACTTTAGCAAAGGAAAACCAGTCTCCTCTTGGCTTATATCGAAATCCTCCGACATTCTTCTTTACAAATCCTCGTTTTGTACTTCTAATTAGTGACCGTTGTTTTGTTTTGATCTCTCCCCTGCGCTCCCGCGTTCGTCACTTCTGAGCGGTGCATGCGCAACGCCGACCTCATACGTCATCCGCCCGGAGCTGCTTCCGTGTACAACAGTGAGCGCAAGCTAGATTAAATTAATTATTACGTTTTAAATATGGTTATTTTTCTTACAAAAATGCATCGATTCGCTACAGGAGGCCTTTGTTCACCCCCCAGAGCTGTGTGAGACACCTTTTTTTATGGTTGGGTGCTTTTTATTTCACTTCTTTTGGACTGAAGCACTGCAACACCTGCTGACTGCAATGATAGCGCTTGGAATAGCCAGGACAATTTTTAATATAACTCCGACTGGATTTGTCTGAAAGAAGAAAGTCATATACACCTAGGATGCCTCGGGGGTGAGTAAAACACAGCCTAATTTTCCTTTTTGGGTGAACTAACCCTTTAAACACCATCATTTCTGCTGGAGAACTACATTACCCATAATCCAGAAGGAAAATCAACCAGTGACAGAAGTTGCTGTTGCCACTGAAATGGAAATTGTGGCAAAATTGTTAAGCAGTCTCCCATGAAATGTTGAAAATAATGTAATCGAGTATCCCTAGACTCTCAAAACTAGTTTTAAGCTTATTTCTAAAGCAATTTTTTTTATTGCATCAGCTTATAATATTTATAAAAAAAATGCATGAAAATGAAAAAAAAAATCCTACTGGAAATGTCATTACAACTTCTTCACAGTCTCAAGTCATCAGAAATGGAGAATAATCATATTTCGTAATAGCACTGCACATTTTAACAGAAGGCCATCACTCAGAGACTCACCACAATACCAGCTATTTTTTAAAGCACAACCTCATAATCGTGTTACTGGTAATGGAGTCATCAGTGTCCCTATGTTTTGTGAATCAAGACCCATAATTGTAGTTACAATCAACAAACTTACATGATAGTGAACTGAGGAGAGAATGAGATGTGACTCACCTGTGGGTGTAACAACCACCTTTCCCATTTCCTCAGACTTCTCCAGAATCTTGCGCCAGTTTCTTCCTTCTTCACCCTGTCTCACCCACTCTTGGGCCGTACACACATACTCCCCTTGGTCTGATGGCTTCGCTCTTTTCAGGACCAGTCCATAAAAACCACCTCCACGAAGGTCCAACTGAAATCCACCATCTGTGTAACGCCGAGTGTAGTTGCGTCCTACTTTGATCTTATCATCCGGCCCAAACGTCAAGATTTCCTCCACCGGGCTGCTCCCTTTCCTGATGGACCAAGTAACGGAGAGGAAGGTGTGCTCCGTGAAGCCCCGTGTCGCGCTACACTGGAGTTCCACTGATTCTCCCTCAGACACCGCTGACTTGGGAATGGCTGGAGCCACCTTCAGACTGTCCCCGATCACTGGACACAACAAATGACACTTTAAAGCAGGCAGAAGAAGGGCTGTGTGTCAAAAGGTTTAAAAAGTGAAGTGTGTGATTTCCACATCGCCAAACAGACTTGCAAAAATAATGCTGAGACAAAAAGTTTTCCATACACCACCTGTCTTCCACTGTTAGGTCAAACAAGTAATCCCACTGTAATCTCAAACTCAAAGTCTTGGTTTAGACCATATTGTTATATTTGACCCTGTCTGACCACTTGTAATTTTATTTGTTGCCACTAGTGCTGCAGAAATTACACACTTCCCTTTTAACAAAAGATCTGAAATCAGAACAAATAGAACATTAATGGGAAGAAGGTAATATACATGGGATTACACTATCAGTCAAAAGTTTGGGGTCAATGTTTTTTTTTTTAAAGAAATTATTACTTTTATTCAGCAAGGACACATTAAATTGATCAAAAGTGAAACTCTGATGAACACTGGAGTTATCAACACTCATTTCCTCACAATTTGGTATTGCTTGTTAACTGTGTGGTTACTAGTACATCCTAGCATCAGCTAAAGGAGCCGGTTTGCATTCGACCCTTGACTTTTCTCACACTCTGCATCTGTCAGTGTCATAGTGAATGAAGAAAGCTCTCTTTGGCTAAAGTTTTAGGGAAATTCCTAATGGTGACTGCTTCCTTAACTGTCCTCTCTAAGGTCTGACACCAAACAATTCTCAGAGGGAAAACCAATCTAGAAATGAAAGGAAAAGCTCACCCAGATATGAGCATTATCTCATTTACTGACCCAGAAAATCTACAAATAAAGCTGGATCAGTCAGATATAATCTTATATAGTCAGATGTAACAATTCATTAAACATCTTGATCTATTCAACACACAACCTCATATTTTATGCTCCTTGTGTTGTTCTGTGCTTTGATTGTGCTATTATTTTTTGTTGTTGTTGTTGGTGCGGAAGAGTTCATTTTGTCCATCTCCAAAAGTGGAGTGGAGTGATAAAATCTAAATGCTGTCTTAAAAAAAAAAAAGCTTCAGAACTCCTCCATTAAGCTCCACAGACTTTTACTCTAGCTAACAGAACAAAGAATAAGTCTTTGTATTTTTGTCTTCAAGCCTTGCAGTGCATCACGTTCTATTTAAACTTTCAGTGCAACCTTGTTTATCTTTATAAACCTACTGTATCATATCTGATACAAAACATAATATCTGATACATTAACAGGATCAAAATTTTGCTGAAAGAACTATTGTGCACAATCTTTACATCTACATGCCATCTGTCATCTGGTTGATAGTTTATACATTTGCAAGTAAAAGGCCTTTTAGTAGAACTGTAAAAGCATCTCCTTTCAGGTCATGGTTCACATGTCTTTTTGCTGTGAAATCTTTACTAATTTTGATGACGTAAACGTAAGAATAAGTTCTATATTTAGTAATATTTCAAGATATCCCTTTACTGGACTGAAACAACTTGTGTTTATCTGATTATCCATACATATTTTTTGAAAAATCATATTAATATGTGATTATCAAATACATTAAGCTTTTGAGGAACGTTTATTTGTTCAGTTCTCAACCATCACTATATTGCATTGCATTATTTGTTTTGCCCCCCGCATTAAAAATCACAGAGCTTTGAGCATAAAACTAAGCATTTAAATATCATCTTAAGACATTTTATTGGGAGATAATAGAGTGACAACCAATATTTAAAGATCTCATTGATTTAAATTACAAGCTGATTGCAATCAAAATTTCATCTTAATTTTGGTCGTATAAATATCAGCAACTGCATCAAATTGGAAACTCAAATTTTTATCAGTGTAGGCCTCTAAATACAATTTAGGTTTTCCTCAAGTATGAGCTCCATATTCTCCTACTATAGGAGTCATAACTGAATGATGTATCATGTAACATTTAGACTTTGTTTTTAATATTTTGCCTAAGATTCAATAAACTTCCTTTTTAATGATTTAATATGTCAGGCTTTGCAGGGTTAAGAAATTGGAGTGTAGGAGTAGCCTGCCTTTTATTTTGATCAACGCAGTTTGCTTTTGTTTGTATTAGGCAGTTAGAACAGGCCTCTGCTGTTTTATTTTCATTTGCATTAGATAAGTTATAATTTCTTTGGAATTGAGATTTTGTTTCCAATTAGTCGACCAATAAGGCCTTGTAAGTGCCAACGCAGATTTCTAGAGCACAAGGCTACTGATATAACCGCAACATATATAACAAACTTAATTGCAACAAATAAGATATATAGATTTATACAACAGTTCTTTCTGGTCCTCGAATCTGACTGGCTGATAAGAATGTGATATTCAAGTGATATCGTAACTCCAAACGTGTCACTGTTTGTATCACTCCACTGTCATGGCTGATGCACAAATCCACTATAATTTCATAATTAATACCGTTTTTGTCTCACAGAATGTAGTTTTATGAGTTTTTAAGGCAATAATGTACTTGTTTAGATTTCAAATATGCAGTTTGTTAATAAAGATAACATCTAATTGAAAATTTGCTTCAAGGTTTTTGGAGATGTGAGCTCCAGGGTGTCAGCGGCTGTTGAAGCGCTCATGAACCCGCTGAGAGCAGCCTCACCTCGGCCAGATCTTCTGGAATTTACCGCTGGCTCTGAAGTCTCTATAGTGGTTAAACATGAGATATAATTCGTTGTGGGTAAATCTCGTGCGTGGTCTCTGGTCTCATTAATCTATTAATTGTTCCAGAGCAAATAGTTTTGGCTGAGGGCAAAATCTCATCACGTTGTATTTTATGTGACTTCAATGCTGTATATCATAGCGCTGCCTTTGTACTTTTGACTGAATTGCCAAGCAACTTTTATGATGGCTGTTGTTGTTTATTAATATTATTTTTCAATAAATAATATTTTATATAGGGTTGCAAAAAGGTGGAAATTTTCCAGTAAATTTCGGAAACATTCCAGGATTTTTAGAAAGTTTTACAGAAATTTTCCACCCCTTTGCAACCCTAATTTTATATAAATAATAGTAGTATTTAGTATTGGGAAACAGTGTGTGTGTTTGCGATGGTGATTTTTGTGACATTGTTCCACCATTAGATGGCAACAAGAGACTGGTTTATGAGTCAGCAGTAAAGACTTTTATATTGAAAGAGACTGGAACGGAAGTTATTTTTACTTTTAATAACAGCTTGTAAGATGCAGACAACAAATGCACTGAGCAGCGCTGTCATCGGAAATCACCCTTAAAGGGATAGTTCACCCAAAAATGAAAATTCTATAATTTTTTTACAGATCTCCTTGCTATGTTTCTGGACTTGGGAACATTTCAGTTGAATTGCTGTCTATGCAGGGTCAGACAGCTCTCAGATTCCATCAAAAATATCTTAATTTGTGTTCCGAAGATGAACGAAGGTCTTACGGGTTTGAAACGACATGAGGGTGAGTAATTAATGACAGAATTTTCATTTTTGGGTGAACTAACCCTTTAACAGATGAAAGGATAGTACGACAAACAGCCTATCCCTTTCCTCAGCAGACATTCAAACTCATGTTTTATTGTGAATATGAGATTGATCTGAAGAATAAATGCTGTATCAGATGTAGGTAATCACACTCGCTCAGTCAATCTCTCTCACAACATTCTACTCCACATAATACACAGCTTTTAAAACAGTAATACAGCAAGCTTTTAATAAAGCAACTCAACGTTCCTTCATTACTAGTTCTAAAGTGATGTTTTTGAATTAGTAACGGAGGCTTGGGCTCAACTGTTAAACTGAGATTTGATTCCATGGCGGAAGGAAGTAGTTCTGCACAAAAGAGACACTTCATTGTTGTTTCTTATGTATTTACACTCGTGCCGTCGAAATGTTGTATAAACACAATATCATACTCGTAGACGTGAGATATTACCTACGGCCGAATCACAGCCGTACTGATATACAGCAATATCTCACGTCTACGAATGTGATATTGCTCATTCAAAATAATTTAAAACACAAAGTATGAACAAACCCTTGTGATACACAATATTTACCCAATGTTGGAAGTGGCAGTACGACCACTTCTGTTAATTGGCATAGGTGTTAACCAATATGTAAATGCCAAAATATTAACCAGTTATTAATCTCTAAATGCCAAAATATCGCTCAATATATAAGTCTATCTCTAACATTGTCATTATGAAGTCACTGTCCCAATTTAAATAAATAAATACTAAAAGGAGGATAATATGAATAAATAAACCTGTTTTGGGGTGAATATTAGTACCTTAGAGTAGTAATATGTACTCTTAAGGTACCCTTTGAGAGTGCTACCCCAAAAGGTACAGGTTTTGCACATTTTTTTCTGAGAGTGAAGTAAAAATCTTTAAAAAGTAAGTCTTTACAGGCTTGACCCACCTTTGAGCTCCACATCGGCGTGGTAGTTCCCGCTGATGACCGAATCGGTGCTCGGGGTACTGCAGCGATACACGCCACTGTCTGTTGCTCTGACCTTCTTGAATTTTAGTTCAATAGCAGCATCTCCCAGCTTATTATAATTGATGTCACCACTGTTAACCCGGTCCCTCATTGAAGGGTCCACAAAATTACTGTCAAAGGTGGAGACGAGCGAGAGCAATTTATCTCCGGCAAGTACCAAAGACCACTCAAAATCCTGATCTCGGGGTCCCTCGTAGTAGGACACATCACAGCGAATGGAGACAGCTTGCCCTGCTACATGAACTAGAGGACCGACCGGAACCTTCACCACACGGGCCTCACAGAACGACACTGAGAGAAGAAGAGAAGATTTGTCAGGTAAACAGTATATACTAACTAAACAAAGGAGCTTGAGTTCTGTGAGACACATTAATGGACTACTGGGGGAAAAAACCGTTCTGTAGTAACAGTATGATCAAAAACATAGTATCAGTCAAATATCAGTATCAGTCATCCTGAGTGCAGGATGAGTCATCAAACTTTTTGGTCTTTTTTTTTTCCCTGAAGAGAAAGACTGTAAACAATAAATGCGTTTATCTGTTAAAAGTTTTGTTAGAACTACACCAGCACAAAGATGACCTCTAAGAGATGTGTCTATTTATGGAAATATTCATTGTAAATAACCATATTAGGTCAAGGATGAGTTCAAAGCACTGGAATGAAAATACGCTATCTCATCTAAAAGTGAATATTAACATTTTATTGGGTTGGGAATTAAGTGCTCTGAGACAAATTATATCAGCATGGCAGCTTAAGAGAGAAAATTCACTAACATAGAACAAGACAAAGAATGAGCTGGAACATTACACTGGAGGAAACAAGCTGAAAAGAAGAGCAAGAGGGACATAAACCAAAACTGAGAGAAGGTGACATGTAAAAACTTGCCTCTTCATGAGGGATTGGCTGTTCTCGTAAGGCAGAAGACTTAATTCAAGGAACAGAAGACAAACATAGTAGAAACTAGTGAAATATATGGTAAAATAAACCTGCTGTGTTAGGGTCATGCAATTGAGGTCAAAAGCTGTAGTATTAAAACAGGACACAATGAAAGTTGGTAAGTGAGAGCAGATCAGAGCTGATTACATGAATGGTAATGAATAGGAACATGCTAAAACACATCACCAAAAAAAAAAAAAAAGGAAAAGGAAATACTAAACAGCAACTCTAAAATCATGCACTGATATGATGGAAAAATAAATTAGGTTTTAATTATCTTGTATAAGGAAGAAAATGCTTCTCGTATCTTTCGTTGTTGATGTCAAAAGTCAAATTTGGCTTTGGCTTTTTTTTTTTGTCACATGGCACAAGGTTTTAGACAAGTTTGGGTGAATTAGCAGTTTAGAGCATGAAAACTGAAATTCAAGCAACACTTGTAAATTAAGTTGGCAAGTTTTTCTATTGTGTCTCATATAATTTTCGAATTCTGTTGGACTTGCACAGTTTATAATTAACATTAATAAAGGTAACTGTTTGATGTTAAGGCCATTTTTGTTACTTTTGTATGATAAACTATTTCGGCACATTTTGGCACCCAGAGTCCTAAAGCAAAACCACATCATAACCACTAATATAGGTAAACATGATTCTTGAAAAACAGGTTTGCACTATCTGCTTGCAGTAAATATATTTTACACCCGAACTAGCCCCTGGATCACTTCACATCCCTAAATTAGAAGCTAAACTCTGGCGGTTGGCATGTAGGCAATAGACAACTGAGACCTGGAGCATTCACACTGTACATCACACATATACAGTAACTTAGCTCTGAAGGTTGGGTTTGGGGATTTACAGTGT